GTGGTTAATCCGTTTTTGCAATCTCACAAAACTCAAGGAAATGGAGTTGCTTCAAGAAAACAGTTCAGAAAGTAGTACGTCTAAAATTACCCACTCTTAAAAGTCCATACAAATAATTACATGTAACATGATCGAATGCAAAGGTACATGTACAGGTATGTATTTAAAATGCAGCTCACCAGCTGGACTGCTTTTTTATGCCTATCGTAACTTAAGCTGCAAAAAATGTGATTGATATTAGAGGCAAAAGGGCGATGTTATCTCTGGCTAAAATTGGATTGAAATCAGCAGCCTACATGTTTTTACTTTACAAGAAAACACAGAAAATGGGCAAAAGAGTGTCCCGTATGCAATAAGAACAAATGCAAGGATGCTACTATATTCTAATTCTGCAAGCAACAACCGGGGTGGAACTGTGAGAACAAAACAAGTGTTAGACCACAAGAGGGCGCTAGTCAAAATTATCTATGCATGGCCACGTACGTACAATGTACTGCGAAGGTACAATACAATACATGACGTAGTTGAAACAGAATGAAAGGAATGGAATCAATGTGACCATACGACTCAACAAAGAAAAGGAAACAGCGTCAGGTGAGAGTAGGGCGAAACTCGACCTGGTTACACTCACCCCTGATTTTAAAGAACAAGAAAACAATTGTGAAGAATAATGTAGTTACACATGCAGCTAGGCTTGTTTATGGCACACACATGGATGTTCATACAATATGTGCTTATAGGCATACTCTTTTATCAAGTAAGCATAACATAGTAAAGAAAACTTTATAGCATACGAAGTCCACCTTTAGTATGTCACTAACAAATAGACAAATAATTCTTCAAGGTGGTCATTTCCTTAACCCTTTGAACCAAAATGCCGCTAAAGTGACTTCCCCATGAAAGTGCGTCAACCCGAAAAGCCGCAAAAGTGGCTTCTGACTACGTCAGATAACCTTTGACATATCAAAGGGGTTTAAGCCAATCAGAATGCTTGTTACAGAAGAGTTTGTCAACGGAGCGCTAGGCCATAGTTTCTTCGTCTTTTTAGGAAGTTATCGACTGTATCTGAGTGGAAAAAAGCGAAAAATGGCGGCCATTGATGATGAACATTTGGATGCATCCGATTACAGTAATTCTGTAATTTTGAAAGCGAGTCGGACAGTGATTTTACCGATGATTTTGATGTTAGTATGGTGAGTGCAGTGAATGACAATAATGCACGTGCACAGTATCAATCAGTAGTGTTAGGCCAGGCGGCAACTTGGCCTTTGGCTCCGGCAGCACCTGTTACAGCACCTGTACCTGCTGCAAATGTTCATCCAATTAGTGACAGTGATGACAGTGCTACCAGTGATAGTGACACCAGTGCAGGAGCTGCTGGACATGCAGGAATGGGGCATGGATGTGGACATGGTGGACATGGATGTGGTGGAAGAGCCAGGACAAGGGGCAGAGCTATAGCTGGATATGCTAGAAGTAGAGGTCATGTACCTGTAAGAGGTTGTGGTAGGGGTAGAGGCCATAGTGCTGCAGACACCCATGCCCCGGTTGCCCAGTGCCAGTGAAGTGGAAATACTCGAGGTTTTACTCATCTCCACTTTCAGCCCTATGAACTACCTGTTCAAAAAATTTTCCTGCTACTATTGATTTAAATAGTTCCCCACTGGAATATTTCAGTTTAGTTTGGGATGATGCATTGTGGGAAGTACTGGTAACTGAAACAAACCGCAATGCGGCACGTATAAAGGCTGCTAAGCCAAACAACTACAATGCAAAGTATTTTGTTGATGTTACCACTGCTGAGATGAAAGCTTTTTTTGGGCTGTAGGATAACCATGGAAATGCTAGTACACAAAGATCGTTACGAACATTACCGAAGGGCCCATGACAACTTGCTCACGGAAACGCCTGGATTTTCAAAGGTTATCACCCAGGACTATTTTATAGGAATATGGTCTATGCTTCACTGCGTGGATGAGGACGATCCAACACCGGATAAAATGGACAAGATCTACAAGTCAACACCTGTATTCACGTACATGTATATTCTTGACAACATCAAGGGATACTACATACCAGAGCGTGAGCTATCTCTGGATGAGGGAATGATCCCCACAAAGAACACTTTGGCAATCAAGCAGTACATAAAGGAAAAACCAATAAAATGGGTATCAAAACTTTTCTGCTTTGTGAAAGTAAGACTGGCTATATCACAAATGCAGAAATCTACATGGGTAAGAGAACTGATGGCCGAGCAGTCAATGGCCTTGGTGTCACCTGAAACCTATAGTTGTGAGATTGACAGACCTTCACAGGGATCAGAATTACTGCGTGTACACAGACAGGTTTTATATCTCAGTAAAACTGGCAGAATTCTTGCTAATGCATGGAATACAACTGTGTGGCACAGCCATGACAAATTGAGTGTCCTTTCGTAAAATTCTACAATGCAGTAAGGAACTAAAGAAAGGCGAATCAGTACTATTATTCAATGGAAAGGTAGCAGCTGTTGTATGGAAGGATAAGAAGCCAGAATATTTTGTCAAGTCAATTTAT